GCTAGAAGGGCTAGGAGGTACTGAGGGGCTCTGGTGATAAGATTTGCTTGGGATGCCGGGGTGTCTTCTGCTGGCACGGGCGACACATGCAGCGGGGCTGGAAGCGGGGTGTTGCGGCACAGGAGCAGAGGAGCCCCCAGCAGCTGCAGCCTTGTGTAGGCAGCTTTCACGGCTGGCAGCCAGAAAGGGCAGACCTGCCATCTCCCAGGCTCTGCAGGAAAGCTCATTGGCAGGTGGGTTGTCTCTCCCATCGCAGTGAATCTTTCTGGGTACCCCATACGGGTTTTTGACTGCACTCGCAGCTTGCCTACAGGCACAGAGGGTCCCCAGTAAGTCGCCTCACCCCAGCCACAGAGCTGCATTAGGCTTGTGGCTTCTGCAGCCCTTGAGAGAGATGACACATTCCTCATGCACACCCAAAGCTAAGAGAGCCTCAGACCAAGCCCCGTGGGAAGGAGTGAGCTGAGGAGAAGGCTGCAGATGGTATGGGCAGCCCTGGGCTCCCTCGCTTGTCTGCTGAGCCCAGCAGCTTCTGCTGGGCTGACCTGTGCCTCCCAAAAGGCAGGCTCTTCAGAGACAGGGCTGGCTGCCTCCCGAGAACAATTTTTCCTCCTGTTTAAAAGCACATTCCTAATTCCCATCCTCTGCATTTGCCAGTTGGTCTTCAGCTCCCGCTGCGCCTTTGCCAGCAGGGCTAAGGAACCTGTTAATACCCAGCACCTTCCCCCGGGAAGGCACTTCAGCTCTGCAATCAGCTCACCTCTCCTCTTTGATAAGCCACGTAAATTAATAGTTTCTCTGCAACAGTTTACACAGTCCGTAAGCAACCCTGCCTGAAGCCGTGGGGCACTTGAAATAGACTCTTCTGTTACAGCTGAGCATGAAACAAGCTCTTCTCCGAAACTGCCTTAAGTAGGGAGGATGGGGGCAATCCTGCGTCCATCAGCCACCAGGCAAGAGAATGGCCATGCGCATGTTTTATTTAGTAGTAATAGCCAGAACAGACAGGAATGGTGGGAAATGCTGGTCTGGTACCAAGGCGTACAGATTAGCAGGTCCCAGGGAGCACAGAGGTGTGTCCGGGAGATCTGGGGATGGAGAGGCACAGGCTGCGGCCCAGTGCCCCAGGGGGGACGGGGAGAGGAAGGACCGAGGTGGGATCCAGCCATGCTCAGGGCCTGGCTGCAGGTGGCGGGGAGAGCTCTCCCTCAAGGTTATCCTTTGAAACTGAGAAAAAGGGAATACTGCCTGCCAGCACCCAAACAGGGCTGGGCTGGGGAAGGAGCAGATGAGATCAAGGTGAGAAGTTGCAGCCTATCTTTGAGCCAAAGTGATGTGAAAGCAAAGGACCCTGAATGCAGTGCGCCTGCAGAAGCAGGTGAATTGTGTCACTGAGCATGAGATGGGTCTTCTAAGGACAAAGGACATTGAGGCTGAATGGATTTATTTCCTTTATCAAGCAGGAAAAATATCTGTTTTTTAAATTTACAGCTTGACAAGCTGTATGTATCTCAGATTGACTCCTTGGAGTACAGTGGGGCAAATAAGGTGAAAATGAGCACCATGGCCTCAGTCACACTTCAGAGGAAGAAACTAGGTGAAGGCAAGGCAGAAACGCCACCTGGAGCCTTAGGACCAGAGAGCCCAGGTCCCCTCCACCATACAAGCAGGACGCGGGTCTTTTCCATCCCTGCACGCCCATGCAAAGCAGGCGTGACCTGCGACCGGCTGCGTTCGGCATCGCTGCTGCAAGGCAAGGAAGGACTGTGCCTGGCCACTTTAGTTCCTTCTCCCAAACTAGGGACTCCGTACACAGACCCACAGTCTCCTCCCTCGCCAGGCATCGCCTAGCTGGTATCTCGCCTTTTCTTACTCACCAACCACCCGAGCAACCACTTCGCCTATGCCATGGGCTCTTCTTTCGCAGCCATTTGCGTGTAGCACCCAAAGGCACCCCGGCAAGGAGGGAGTTGGCTGTTTTGCCACCGTAACCGCTTCCCGAGGCTGCCTGGGGAGCATGGCAGCGGGGTGGGCCGGGGCAGGGCCACACCTCTGCTGCCGCGGTTATAAATTCAGGCTCGCTGGGGGAAGATGGCTGCCGCTCTTAGGAGCTGGGCTTGTGAACAGGTAAGAGGAAAGCAACTGCCCTCTTTGCAAAGGTGGAAAAAAAGTTGTGCTGAGCTCTGCCTCTTCACAAAGCCTCCTGCTCCAAGCCCTCCTCTTGCAGGGGAGGGTGAAAGGTTTTTTGTCCCCTTTGTTATTCAGGAGGGCAAGGGGAGGAGCTGGGCTGTGTAAGAGATCCTGGCTGACATAACCCTTCCCATGCAGGGCTCTGGAGAGGGGCCAGGTTGTACCTGAGCATTTTTATTTAAACTAATCCCAGGCATTGCAAATTGAAAGTCATCGCAGCGCCAGGTAGAACCAGTCGAGATGGTTGCTGGAGGGCATTTTTCTCACCCGGGTGTAGTAAAGCAGTCTTGAGGTACGTTGTTTATCGCTAACCCCGGGACTATGTTCTGGAGGTGTTGGAGCACATTTGGCAAGCCGAGCTCGCTCAGCCTTTCCGGGCAGTTTTGGGAAAACCTTGCCCAAGAAGCCTTTAAGGAAACCGAGTGGCCGTGATTGAGAGGTGAAGCCTTGTTACGCTTAAAAATTTGGGCAAACTGGAAAGCCAAGGGCTGGCTAGCAGATGCTCAGGGCAGGCTTGGCTGCAGCCTAGCATTTCTGGGTAAAGAGGAGACCAGGTGCCATCTGGCCAGCCCCGAGCCCGAAGCAGCCCCTGGGCACCCTTTCCTGCCCTTTGCCGAGTTTGGGAGCAGACCCCACGAGCCAGGGGAAGAGGGGTTGCTGGAGGTGCCTCCCCGGCACTTGTCAGTTCAAAGAAAGCAGCCAGCAAGCAGTAAGTAAGCAGCAGGTGAGGGCTGCCCGGGGCTGGTTCCGGCATGCCGGCTGCCACCGAGCATGGCCGGCTCCGATCCCTGGCTTTCCCTCTTCCTCCTCTCTGCCGACGGCTCCTCTGACCTGGGGCTCTTCCACCCTGTCTGCCTGTCGAGCCCTGTGCCTGGCAGCGTGGGGAGGGAAAACCCACTCTAGACAAAGCTGCTTTTCCCCACCCTGGCCCTGAACCCTGCAATAACCGTTGCCCCCCTTGACCCAGCCGAGCGAGCGAGGTCGGCGTCCGATGCTGAGGGGTGAGAGCAAGGCTGCGGGGGGGGGGGGGGGGAAACGCTTTTCTCTCCTCGG